TCTGGAATATATATGCAAACATATCAGGTTACAAGCAACAGGTCATCTCTGCACAGCTCTGCTGTAGACTAACGGGGCAGATTCTTAACTAGTGTAAATTATCATGGCTCCTATGACAATTTATACTAGTTGAGGATCTATTTCAAAATGTTATGTTTGCTTCTGGTCAGTTCACTGAAAATATTAACAAGGTGGAGGGTGTTCTCAGAAGGACAGTGTAAATGGAGGCTAGTCATTTGACTTTTTGATAAAAGATTAAAAGAGTGAATTATGTATTGCTTACTTGAGTAGTGACAATAAGAGAATGTAAGTCTTCTGACATTGAAAGGTTGTGAATGCTACAAGCAGATGAATATCTAACATAGTAAGAGAAAGTATAAGTTTTCTTTCTCAGTGTCAGCTCATTATTCCTAGGTAGATTGGATATCAGGAGAAACTTCCTGAGAGCAAACTCTTAAAAATAAGGAACAATCTCCCAAAGGAAGCATTGGAAGCTCCATCACATAGTGCATTTAAAAATAGGCAGAATTAAATGTATAGCAGAGAACTACTTGCAGTAGGAAGGCGGTGAAGTAGGTGACCTGATTAGTATTGTCCATCTTTATATTCTGTCATTTTATTTTTCATATTTCTAAAAATAAAAATTATTTTTCCCTGGAACTAGTTTCATTAACATAACTCAAGACAGGACATGAGGAAGTCGTTCCAAGCCATGGAACATTGTTTAAGAGCATAAGCAAAATATCTTCCTTCGAAGGATGCGCTATCTAAGGAAAAGGGAAAATCCATGTTAGACAAATGAGATCCTAAGGATCTCAAAGAATTAGATGTTTTCTTCAACAGAAAAGCTTTCCCCAGCCTTTGAGCATACATATTGCCAATGCCTTCAAGCTGCAGAAGACCTTTTAATATATGCTCTTAACAATATTCTTTAGCTATGCTTGATAGCATTTTGATAGCATTAGTGCTCCTTGTTTCTTGTCTTTAATTTCACATAAGACATAGTAAATTAGTAATACCTGCACCAGTGTTGTATGTAAACTGTATATTAAGAAAGGGAAGGATGTTTAAATTATTAATTACATTGCTTTTATTTACTTGTTGCGCGCTGGTGGTATGTTTAGTGCTGCTCAGAACATAGAACAGACATGGCCTCTGTCCTGTAAATCTAAGGGCCAGATAGCACAAACACACATGCAAATAACTGCATGGGGCAATTCATGTGTGTAAGTGTTTGCAGGACCGGGCCCTCAATTTGTACCCTCTGTCCCAGTTATTGGTTTACTCCAGATTAAATCAGTGGCAAAATTCCCATTGAGATCAATGGTATGTGACTGGGCCACATATGTTGGGCTTTGCTAATGAGGTATTAGTTCTAAAGAAGTCTGTACTTACTCTGATTGTTATTTTGGATATAATAATTGCACTAATTAGCTGCCATTTGATTCTTAGTGTGTCAGAATTTTTAAAACGCTAAAATGTTTAAAATATATAGTGCCACATAATTTATTTAATTTACTGAACAAAGAATAGAAATTAATTTTTACACAGCTGCTCTAAAGTTATCTATTCTCGCTAGAAACAGGTGACTGCACAATCAGTATAAAAATGAATTAATGACAAAAGGAACTATATTTTATACATTATCTATGCATATGTGTAAAATATGAATACAATGGGATGTGGATTTCATAAGGTTATATAAAAGGAGCTGTGTATAACCTGAATTTGACTTTATTGCAACATTAGTATTCTACTACATCTTGTTGAATTTTTTTATTCTACATATTGATATATCAGAAGGTGTTGTAGGCTGCAGATTTTTCTACAAAATTAATCTTAACTTTGATCCCCTTTATCATACTGTGCAGGAGTTCTGAAGAAAGCTAGTGGGGAGCTTTTAATAGGGGAAACTAGAGCAAATGAAACCAGTGTGCTTCCTGAACAGTTACTTCAGGTAAAAGAGGTGAGTATGAAAAGAGTCTTGCACTTTATAAGGATTTTTTTTCTTTTTTTTTTTCTCTCTGTCACCAATATAGATTCTGTTGGCATACTCATTATAAACACCTGTTTCCGGAAGTTAATTGTTTGAATATTATAATTAATTTTAGACTGCAGAATCTCAGCTCAGGATGAAAAAAATCCTATACAAAATTTGTATGTAAAGAGACAAAGGGGATAATCTTTTTTATTTTTTATTTTTTTGGTACACATTATACTGTAACAAAGTTAACATCAGAAGAACACAATGCCACAGTTACAAAGAGGAAAACCAAAACCGTGCACAAACATAAAAGTCTTTATTTAATATTCCATGTGTTCTTGAATATACCATAGGCTGACAAAATGTACTGAAATCTTAGTAGCTGATCATGCAGATGCTTACTGCTAGGGTTTGTGTTAGTTCCTTTACTAGGCATTTAGTGCTGTAATCCTTGCAGAAAGCATATGCAGTATTGTGGCTTGGTCTGTCCTCCATTTACCAATTAAATGTTGGAGTTGAGTTTAGGGGACTTAAGAGGTCTAAAAGACATGCCAAGTCCTTCATTGCCCAGTAGTGGAATTTTATTAATCAGTACCAAATTTTAGGCCTCAAACAGCTTGTTTAAATACACTTTGGATCTGTTTGTGGGACTTATGTTTGAATATTATTTTTAGAGAAAGTATTTTGATCCAGATGAGCTATACCTAGCACAGGACCCGAAGACAATGTGGAGAAAGTGGTATTATGCTGCCTTTGTACTCCCCAAATTGTGGGGTGGGCTCTGATCAATTAAGTCCCTGACACAAGTTAGAGCAATGTAAGCGCTTTTCCATTTCTGGCTGGTTATAATGCCTAACTTCTTAGCGTACACGCACAATAGGCTATTGCAGCAGCTAGGGTTGTTAGAGTCCTGTCTCCTCCCCTCTCCTACCATACCACTTATGTCAGAGGCTGGTTAGGTTAGGCCCTGAAATATTCCCCTTAAACTAGAGACATTATCAGTTGGCCACTATTGTCCAGTTTTAAGATGGCTTTACACCATCAGAGCAGTGCAAAGCAGAATTAGTGTGAACCAGGGGGTGGTACATGACATTCCTCAGATCCACCTCAGAGGTCTCTAATTTTTTGGCCAGGTTTGTGAACGACCTAGACTAGTTTAAACTGTGGCCAAATGCAGCACTAAAGAGAGAAATTCTAGCATTGGTATGCCAAAACTGGTTTCTCTAAACCGTTTACCATTCACATTATTGGTTTGCTGGTTTTGAGTTATAAGCATGCTAAGGAAGTAAGAGAGAATATTACATGGTGTTTGATGTTGCAAACTATAAAAACGGCTATAAAATTTAATTGACTTTATTAAATATATTGAATTTAAAGGTTGCTTTATGTGGTAAGTAAAGTGCAGCCTGCTGCTCAAATAAAGATAGTTTTATTGAAATAGATTTTTATAAATGACATTTTGATATTTTTATTAACTCCAATGGCAATTTAAATGAAACATTACTATATGTATTAATCTGTGTTAAGAATACATATGCCTTTTAATGTTAGTTCATTGTTTGTGAATTGTATTTTCCAAGTTATGTGAATGGCTTTCACAGTATGACAGAGTATCTCTACGTAACTGTATACTGGTAGTCATATAAGATTGGAACCGTAACAACAGTAATGCTCATTGCTGAGTTTGGATTTATGTCATATACATTTATATTTCAGACTACTTTATTGGATTTTAGTTGGAGGAATGCATTTAAAGACCTGTCTTCTTCTGTGGCGCACTGTATAACAATAGCAATTGAAGATTTTTCAACTAAAATTCTTCACCTTGAGCAGAAAGAACAGGCTTCAGCTGCAGTCTATACAATGAGCCTAGTAAACATCCAGCAAATGAAAGAGTCCTGGGAAACAGTCCACGAGGCGGAACAACCAAAACGAATAGCAAAGGCAGGTATCCAAAGATCGGAAGTTTGCAGGGAGACAGAATGCCAAGGTTTTTTGCCATCCAAGCTTTGAAGTGCTTACAGTGCCATTAATATTCCAAGTTGTATGTAAATGGAGTTAAAAAGAAAGTGAAAGGCATTACAATACAATGCCAAACATTGTGTTATACTTTAACACATAGTCTGTACTAAACAAAATGAACTTTTTAATTTTGCCCCTATTATCTTTTTGCATCAAAAGGATTCAAAACCATTCCGATTAGTGTCTGTGGCTTTACATCCCAATTTGATGATGATATGCTTGCAAAATTTGAAGCATTGCTATAAAAGGATTTCCTGTATTTATTTCCTTAGGCATGCCATTTAATTAATCAACATAACCGATATTATGGCCAAATTGGAGTTCTTTGATTTGGCTAAAAGGTCAGATATATTGATTAATTAAATGGTTAGTCTAAGGATATATAATATATTAAAGCTGTTTAATGTTGTAATTTTTGCAAGTGTTTTACCTATTTAGGATGGAAAGCAATTGATACTAAGCAGAATTATTAAATGTTTAGTTAAAGGAGAGTACAGGCTTTTAGTAAGATGGCTTTATTGAGAACAATACATACACTTACTAGAAGATGACAATGTCCAACCTATAACTAGCAGCAAGAAATTGATTAAAACATTGCTTTTGAAAATGATATAATAGTTTAGAGAATTATCCCTGTTTGGAAGGAATTAGTCTTATCTTCTGAACACCATTAAATATATATGATGAGAGGGCATGAGCAAAATTAGGGCATTATCTCTTATAAGGTTAAATCCTTAAATATTTTTTAGCCTGTACTGTGCTGATATACAGCACAAAGATTGTGAAGTTATATTTGATGTATTCACATTATTATAAATAAATGTTTTGCCTTTTATGCCAGAGATTGAAATTTTTATAAGGCTGATTCAATATATTTGTGTTGTGCCAATTTCATTATTCAAGAATTTGGCCCTGGCATACATAAATTACACAGAGCTGTCAGAGTACAGATAACTTGATGCCACATTTATTTCTCCCTAGTTTTGTTCTGACATCATGGAAGAACTTGACACAGTGCTTCCACTGGCTCTGGCATGCAGAGATGATTCTCTTCAGGAAATTAGAGCAAACTTTGTGGAGGCATGCTGCAAAGTAGCAACAGCTGTCCTGGAAAGGTTGGAGGAGAGAAGCAAAGAAGTGCCCTCCAAGGCTCCACTGCAAAACTTGTATGCTGTTCTCTCCACAGCAGTACATGTCTTTCAGCATTTTATGATGTATGATAATTTAATGAGAGAGACCAGCAAGAAGTGAGTCCTTTAAATATGTTTTAGTTCAAATATAGATAATATGGAACGTTGATTCCATTTCAGTGATATAATGTATAATCTATAATGCTTGTAAATATACCCAAAATATTTCCTATAATTAAAGTACCATTTGCACTGTTTTTTAGGAAAGATCAGACATACTGATAACTTGAAGTAGTTATTACAAACATTGATTTTTATCTTCAAGGTTTGAATTGGCAAGGCAATGCAAATTCTTTACTCGTTAATCTTGAGCAAATACTCCTATATTATTGCTGTCTACACTATATTATGGTATGGATGAATGGAGGACTTCCATTTCATTTTTGTCTGCAGCAACAGCTTAATTTTCATAAAAACAATGTTAAAAATGTAATCTTTGACAACATGAAGATATGTTCCTGCACTTTAGTGTCATGAAGATTGTGTTGAGCACCATGAGCATATGTATCCAATAAACTTTTACGAGAGGGTAATTTATTAATTAAATAAGTCTTAGATGGATGCTAAATAAAATTAGAGGTAGGTCAAAGAAGGGGTTTTGGGATCCAGAGTAGGGTTGGGTAAGGGTTCAGGTTAGAGGTTGAATCAGAGCTAATGCTTGGACCTGATGGCCCTGAAACCATCTAAATGGTTCTTAGGAGATTTTGGCTCAGAACAGTAGCAATCTCTTGATCTGCTCATCCTGTGTGATTCTGGTCATGTCTGAATTGGAACTGGAAAACAGGCTCCTTGTGGATTTGAGTATGACCTAGAGTCAAAATAAGATGCTGGTTCAAATCCTGGGATCTAAATCTGAATGCAGACCCAAGCAGAAACTTAAAGGGGTTTGGATTCAAGGTTCCAGTTTTGACCATCTCTAGTAAAAAATATAATGATTTTGATTTCTAATTAAAAATATATTGTATGCTATGATTCACATCTACATTTAAAAACAGAGTCCCGATTCTCAGCTTCTATTATCTCCCTGTTGCTCTGCCTGAATGGGGCAAAGGGGACATAAGCTGTAGCTACTGACCAGTTGAGAATTCCTGTGGTGAAAGAAGAGAATTGATGCACTGGGGTAAAACGGTGGAACTGGTTCCCAGGCCAGTCTCCCCTCCACGCATCCTTCCATGGGGGCATGTCAAGGATGGCTGTGCATGATAGGATGAGGAGGGGGTGGATTGTCACTGTGCTTCCCTCAGGCAGGTGTAAGCAGAGCACTGCGGGACCATACCCAGTTGTTGTAACTTAGTGCAGTCTAGGGTTGGGGCCAGGGCAGCATCAGAATCAGAGAACCATTATTGGATCCCTAATGCTCTCCCCTCTCTTGCAATGAGTGTATCTTGGTGCATGACAGAATCTGCCCCCAAATATTGCCCAAATAATTCTATTTGTGCGCATTTCAAAACAGTTTGTGATCATTCATATCTGTGCAGTTACGCTTTTTATAAGTCCGTGGGACTCATGTTTATATGCTAGCTTTATAAAAGTTACTGCTGAAAAGTGCATAGTGTCTTCCAACAACATTGACAATTGAATGACAAAATAACATTCTCACTTGTAATAATAGAGAAGAATACTTTTACTTCTGAATGATGTATTGATAATGCAGTTTGCCTGAAGCAGAAATACATATTTGTAGAACAGCAGATGTACATTTTCAAAGAGCTTGCAAAACAAAGACCAGATTTTTTGAAAGTGAATGTGGGCTCAGACTTCAAGCCCAAGAGGAAATGAATGATTGATAACTAATAATCAAAACCATTTGTAGTACTGTGGATTGTTACCTCCTACTGCACAGGCCTTAAATCTTTGCCTCTTTGATCATTCCCTCTGAACAGGCCCCTGTTCCTAGTGCCTGTCCAGGGATATCAGGAATTCATCAATGTTCTCCAGTTTCAAGTTACCAACTACTGCGTCAGAGTTTGTGCTACAAGTATTTTACAGGATGCTGAGAGCCACCACTGGGATGACTACAAAGCTTTTTATGAGGTGTGAGGTTAAGTTTACTTTCCCCTCCTTTTACATAAATGTGTTTTACTGCTTATCTGCTCTCTGACTAATTAGAAACATAAGATCTGTACTACTTGTGCACAAGGGCTGTTGGGATATGTTTTTAAAATAGCTCTGTTACTGTATGTAAATATCTTCTCAGGAATGATCTAGTAAAATATAGTTAAAAGACTTAAGATTAATCAGTGAGGTAATTAAATAAGGGTTCTCATGCCATTTGCCTAGTAAAATACTGTTTCTTAGGATTGGCTGAAAATAGATAGTTTCCCCTATGTGGGGAAAAGGAGAGAAGGTTAATATATTGATGCCTATATAGTATAAGACTCAAAGAAATAACTATACCAGAATAATGTAAATTTTTTCTTGCATGAAATACTCCCTGTGATGATTGTAAGACTTGTATTTTTTTCTTTCCCTCCCAATACATATGCATATTATAAGTATTTTTCTTATTTAATATATTTCTCTTTTGTCATTCTTTCAAATTTTGCTCCCCTACTGTGGGTTTGGTAAGTGGCTCAGATAGCACAAGTGACCAGTATCCTTGTCCACAGAATCCAGCCATATGTTTCTAACCTGCATATTGTGATTTTGTCTGAATTTTGGAATCCCAAGTCTACTCTTAAACTCTAGTTTAATTATTTTAGTGCAAGAAAATCAAGGGCCAATTAATAAAACATACAGTTGAATATATTGATTCTTTCCCACTTCCAGTGAACTATTCCATTGATTATAGACTACATATTGCGTGAAATCCCTTGAATGTGATTTCTGGGTCACGTAAAATGTTTGTAATTTCATTATCAATAATAATTGGGATCTACAGCAACCATGGCCCTGTCCTTGCTTGTTACAATTGCCATATATGAGAACTAGGCTTCTGAGTATGACTCTACCATCTCCCAGGCCTCCTATAGTGGAACAGAATTTCCTTTGTATCTGATACTTACATTCTGGAAGCCAGTTAGGAAGAGCCATTGTGTTATACCTTCTCTTTCAATGGTGAGGATCTGGAGAGTTCAACTGATTAAATGTTACTTTCCATGGCTGGTGCTATTAAAGGGTCTCTGTCTCTCAGAGCACTGTTATGCAGCCTGTGTAAGGACCAGGCAGAACACCAGCCCTTACACATTGGAGATCCCAGGGGCTGTTCCCTTCGTATTCCAAGGAATGCATGGCGTTCAAATTATGGCAGGAGGTGTGGGGCTTTGCCCCACCTCTTTTCCCACCGCCGGCCCCACCCACCATGTGCTGACAAGCAGAACTGGCTGGCCCCTCTTGTTCAAAATAATAAATTGCACACCACAAAAGAAAATGGGACTATATACAGACAAAGGCATTCTCAATATGAGTAAGATTGTCAGAATGTGGCACTCTGTGATTACATGTAGTGACATTTTCTATAGACTTATTATTATTTGTACAATGGTAACCTCCAAAGACCCCAACTAAATTTGGGAGTCCATGGCTATTTATACTCTCTAAAATAAAGTGATATTGCTTTTCTACGCAGTGAAGGTAAAAATAGCTCAATTTACAAATGTTTTTGCATTGGGACACCTGACTGCATTCTCTCTTCACACACTCTCATTATACCTCTCTGGTAATCCAACTGATTTTGAAAACAGTGGTGTGTTGGATCAAGAGAAAAGCAGGCAATCCCATCTTAACTGTAGGCTAAGAGCTCTATTCTATTCATATGGACATATAGCTTGTAAAAGTTCAGTAATGATTTTACAAGATATGGATCAATATGTGTGCATGTACGTGAGATCTGAACTGAACCCTAAGTACATTATTATCATAAAGCACTTACATTCTAAGCTGTCAGGGTGTGAACCTCTTAGGGTGCAGTATCTCACTGATGGAGTACATTGAACACCCGCTGTGCCACCAGGCCAGCTCTCCAGATTACATTTTAAAATCAAGCTTTTAGTGAAGCAGACATCTGCTGCAATTTTAGGAACTTACGTTTTCTAATAGTCTAAGAATAAAAAATTGTCTGTTCAAAGATAATATTGAGTGGCTTATGTAATAAAGCCCCGCTGCTTGTTTCCTGATATATAATCTAAATAAAAGCTCACATCTGTTTACATTGTACAAAGTCTTCAAAAATAGCAGATGTTTGCCAGTAGAATACTATAGAAATGGCAACAAACAGAAAAACAGGTCAGCAAAAGGGAATGGATCTCATATAAATCTTTAATCAAAACACTATTGCTTCTGTTTTAGAGGCACAATGTTAGAAAAGATACATTATTAAATTTAGCACTTTAAGATTATATATAGTGAACAAAAATATTATATAATAATAAGTGTAATAGTATAAACTTACGTTAAGATAAGAGTTTGTAGGCTCCCAGAGAATTTCCAAGACTCTCAGGCATCCAGATACTTAATAAAACATTATAAATGCTGTACCACATAGAAAATTCATTTAGAAAGTCTTATTTCTTATTGTGAGACTGATTTTATTTGATACTAGAAGACCTAAAAACTACCAAAAAAGAATTAGTCTCCATTAGAAATGGAAGCTAATTATTCTGTCCTTAATGTGCTTATTCTGTGAATGCAAGACGTATATTTGTAGAAATAAAGAGAATATTTCATAAAATCATAGGACTGGAAGGGACCTCAAGAGGTCATCTAGTCCAGTCCCCTGCACTCATGGCAGGACTAGGTATTATCTAGACCATCTCTGACAGGTGTTTGTCTAACCTGCTCTTAAAAATCTCCAGTGAAGGAGATTCCACAACCTCCTTAGGCAATTTATTCCAGTGTTTAACCACCCAGACAGGAAATTTTTCCTAATGTCCAACCTAAACCTCCCGTGCTGCAATTTAAGCCCATTGCTTCTTGTCCTATCCTCAGAGGTTAAGAAGAACAATTTTTCTTCCTCTTCCTTGTAACAACCTTTTATGTACTTGAAAACTGTTATCATGTCCCCTCTTAGTCTTCTCTTTTCCAGATTAAACAAACCCAATTTTTTCAACCTTCCCTCATAGGTCATGTTTTCTAGACCTTTAATAATTTTTGTTGCTCTTCTCTGGACTTTCTCCAGATTGTCCACATCTTTCCTGAAATGTGGCGCTCAGAACTGGACACAATACTCCAGTTGAGGCCTAATCAGCGTGGAGTAGAATGGAAGAATTACTTCTTGTGTCTTGCTTACAACACTCCTGCTAATACATCCCAGAATGATGTTTGCTTTTTTGGCAACAGTGTTACACTGTTGACTCATATTTAGCTTGTGATCCACTATGTAAAAATATTTGCACATTTGATCACCTTCTTCTGGAAGAAATCTACAATAGTGAATCTCATAATTAGGAGACCATAAGGTATCAAAACACTCAGTTACAAACAATGTATGAACATTTCAGCTAGTACTTGTCTAGGAAGCATTCTACGCAAAGATCTCCATGGGTAAAGTTCTACTCTTTTGTGATATTTTTTTCAATATACTAAACCCATAATAGTTGAAGTTTATTTTATGTAAGAAAACCAGGAAATTGTAATAAGCTGCTGGTCTGGCTTGGACAAAATGAGGCCAGCTTCACTTGCATGAGAACATCTGCCAAACTCTTAAAATTGTCTTAAAATCAGGCAGTTATTATTTTTTTGTTTCTGGTATTGTTATTAAAATGCAACAGTGAAATATCAAAATACTTTTAAAATGTTTCTCAACAGCCCATGTCACTTGCATGTGTATAGTAAGGAGATTAGTTGTTTGGCTATTTTTTTCTGCTGTTCTTTCATTATAATTATACACAACCAAAGATTCATAAAAAATCTGGCAGTGGTTATTATGGATCTACGGAAATAGACATACTTAAGTAATTTAAATAATTTGGTTCTTGTTTAAGAAGAGGTAGCCAATATATTAAACTAATCTGGTTAGTTTAGTGATTGCAAAATATTGTATGTAGTTTTAAAGTAAAATTAAAACAATAGGTCAGAAGTAGGTTAATTAAGGATATAGTAGGTCAAATGTTTGTGGTTTGGCTTTGTGGTAGAGTATTGGTTTAGTAACTGAAATGAAACATGTGTTTTTTTGTCAATAAAGATGTTTTACATCTTGTCAAGAATCTTTTTTGGTCATCTACTGTCTCAAACTCTTCAGCTATTTCCTCTCAGCCTGAACTAATTAGATTCACAGGAACCAAGCTGACATTTTGGAAGATGTGTTTCTATTGTTTAATGTGTGGTGGTTTTGCCAGGGGGAAAGATGCTCATTCTCTGTCCAGATGTGGCATTATTTCTGCTGTGCTCTCCATCATGATCTGTGGACTATCCTACCCCCCAAGTTAGCCCAGGAGATTCTAGAAGAAGTGCTGGAGAAATCTTTGGCTGTGCTAGCCTGCAGATATTCTCAGGCCCATCCCAGTTACAAGAGAACTCCACAGATAAGGTAACACATTTATGATTAACAGGTGTTTTTGTGGATAAAATGCATGTGTTCTCAGGATATGATGTGTTGTTTTGTTGTAATTCACCTGAATTTAAATATATGTGCATATAAAAATAAATTTATAAATGTATATAATTCCTATGAGGATTATTTTAATAAAATTCATCTGGGATATTTAAGTATATGCTAGGCTCCATGTGCTGTGTGATCACTCAGTATATGATTGGGGTTGCATAACTCCCTCTTTTGTAAAACTGCCACATAAGTGGCCAGAGCGCATGAGGCTTGATGCAGAACCTGAGTGGCTGAGCAAACAAAAATAAATGCAGACAGCAGGAGTAGCTTTGGGTGAGGGTCAAGGGACTGATCCATGAATTAAAGGCCCTGCTCTTCTGGCAGCTCCAGGACAGGCAGGTGCTCCAGCTGAAGACTGTCCTATCAGGTTCCTAAACTTTGCTGGAGCAAGGGCTTTGTCTAGAAGCAATAAAAGGGCAGGCAGCTCTTGCAGCAAACTTGTCCTAATACCTTATTCCTTCCTTTCCATTCTTCTGTTTGGTTACAGCAATCAGTAAAGTGAACTGCCTCTCTTGCCCTGCTCTTTACTGAAACATGCCACGGTCTATGATGATCATGGTGGCCATGAGATTTAAACTAATCTCAAGAAAATCAATCATCTGCATGGACAGTGACTCCATCTGGGACAATATATTCACATAACTCCTGCTGAAGGTTGTAAATGTAGAAATGCAACAGAGATTGAGATGTAAAATTTGCTCATGATACTGAAGATTTCTAAAGTGCCTGTCATCCAAGAATTTCATAAAGTACTTTGCAAACATCAGTGAATTAAGTCTTATAACATCTATGTGAGTTAGAGAAGTATTGTAAACCCATATTACAGATGGGAAGACTGAGGCACAGATGGGCAAAGTGACTTGTCCAAGGTTTCACAGTCTATGTAAGAGCTGAGAATAAACCACAGATTTCCCAGTTCTTGTTTATGCTTTAATCCTATACTAAATTCTCTGTGATAAGGTCACTTTATATCCTTAAATATACGAAAATACTACTAGACAGTATTTCTGCATGCTCAAGTGTTCGTATATAGGCCTGTTTGTTAGCTTGAGATAGAATTTTGGGTTTGATTTTTTTGATACTCTTGTATCATTTTTAATATGTGTGAACAAAGAACAAAGACACTGTATGTTGCTTCTGCCCAGCCAGATGGGTTTTGTTAGTATAATGAGAAAAGATAAGGGATAGAGTTAAATGTGTTACTGGGTACGGTGGGAGTTTAATATATAAGCATATACTGGAAGGCTGCCTGGCTCCTCTCGCAAGCCAAGATCAAGCAACCATGGGATAGGGGTGGAGGGGGGGTTATAAGAAACACTAAAAGCCAAAGAAAGGCCTGGCCTTGGCCAGAACACAACCTCATTCCTTACCCCTCCCATGGGATACAAAAGAGGTGGCACCAAGACCCCAGACTTAGAACCTCCAAAATGGAGCATGACCATAAATCATAAGGGGTGGGATCAGGGGCATTCACTGCAGGTATATTTAGGCCTGTTAAGAAGGAGGCGGTGGGAATAGGAAACGGGGACACGGGTAAAGGCTCTGCGGCATCAGAGCTATGGATATACTTGCTTGAAACTAACCCCAATAAACATTGCATTGCCTGCACTTCTGACTTCCAGTCTTCTGCTTTCTGTCTCCGTGACAAGAACTGGGGGGGGGGGGTGTGTGGCAAAGGGAAGCCCCTAATATCAGGTACTGCATTTTGTGGGATTAACCAACACAGAATACGATAGTTACTGTATCTCCTGACGTGAAAACACCTTTCCTGATCATTTTCTTGCAAAATTTCCTATAATTTGCAGGATATAAAAGTCCTGCTACAGTTCCTGATGCATCTGGTATTTTCAGCTTTGCATGAAGCTGATTTAAGTTACTGGACAAGAAGAACCTTTTTGTTTATTTTAATAAACAGGGCACTCCATTTATAGATAAACTTCTATTCCACTCATTAAAATGGTAATTCTTGGCTTTGTCTCTAAGTGAATTATCCAGTCATACAATAAAAACATATTTTCTTTGAATAGTTAGTATATATTCATACTACGATGTATTGCATAAGTGTGCTTTATAAGGCTGTATTTTTACTGGGAACTTCTAGCGACGACAGAAACCCATGAGACCAAGATAGAGAACTTTTTGTGCACTTTGGGCCAGATTTTCAAAGGAATTTAAATGCCTAAAGATTCAGATAGGAACTTAGTGGGACTGGGAGTTAGGCTTTTTGGAAATCCCACTAGGTGCCTTTCTGCATCCCTAGGTGCCTTAATATCTTTGAAAATCTCACCCTTTGGGTATGTCTACACTACGAAATTAGGTCGAATTTATAGAAGTCGATTTTTTAGAAATCAATTTTATACAGTCGATTGTGTGTGTCCCCACTTAAGACCATTAAGACCATTAACTCGGCGGAGTGCGTCCACAGTACCAAGGTTAGCATCGACTTTCAGAGCATTTCACTGTGGGTAGCTATCCCACAGTTCCCTCTGGAACTGGAATTCTGGGTTGAGCTCCCAATGCCTGATGGGGCAAAAACTTTGTCACGGGTGATTCTGAGTACATGTCGTCAGCGCCCCTTCACACCCCCCCCCCGAAAGCAATGGCAGACAATCGTTTCGTGTCTTTTTTCCGGGGTCCCGTCCACCGGACCCGCTCCGCCCGCTGCCTGCCTGGATGATCGGAACCCCAGGCAGGAAGTGGGCTGAGCGGGTCGGCGGACGGAGCCCCAGTCCGGCAGCGGGGTGAGTGGCTCAGCCCGCTGCCGGTCTGGGGCTCCGTCTGCCGGCTCCTGCCAGCCGGAGTCCCAAGCCCCGCTCAGCTGGCAGACCTCGGTGAGGTCGATTAGGGGTGCCTGGACAGACATGGCTATCCTCCTCTTAGAGCACTGAATGGGAGTGACTCCAGGTCATTCTCTTCTTTAAGTTTCATTTCATGGAGATTCAGTCCTGCCTGGAATATCATGCGAGCTGGAGGCTTCTGCCTCAGGCTGCTCTCCCAGACGGCATTACCGTGCGGTCACACCTACCCCAGCCTGCCCCTTGCTCCCATGGCTCATGAAGCCTGGACAGTAGTAAGGAGCAGTTCAACTTGTGGAATGACAAATCCAGAATGAAGGATTGCACTCTGTGGGCCACGTTAAGATTATTTCAGAGTCCTAGATAGCATTAGTCCCTATAAAAGGCTTCATGAAAATTTCCCCCCGCCCCTAACAAAAATGTTAATTTATCAGAGCAGCTGAAAGGGTAAGGAACCCGGGACTATAACTGAGAGAGAGCTTCCATATTATTTAACTCATAATTGATATAATTCAAAGTAAAATTTCACAGCGCGGTCTGTTCTAAGACTAAAAATGCAGGAGGGGAGTCAGAAAAAGGAACAGTGACCTGTTTCCGCCTGGTTTCAAACTGGTGACGTTTCATGTGTTAGGTGAATGTGATAACCACTACACTATGGGCCTTTTCTTTTTTTGCCACAGACTTTGCCGAATGCACAGGAATGTTTTCTCTAGCTACAGAAGCTAATTCAATGTCTATATCTATGGCCTTCCTGCTCACAAAGCGGTCATGCCCCCGCCCAAGGCTGACACAGCGACCTGGCTCGGGCAGGATCGCTAACGAGGCATGATACTTTTGCCATTAAGCAAACACAGCAATTCTTTCCTGGCTTCTGCCACTGAATGCCTCCATGCATTACACTGTGTCCTATCAGTGCGGGAGGACTGCATGAGCTCGAGTGCTTTTTTTCGCCTTCTAATCTGCGATAACCTCAGGGACGGAGATGATAGGGGGAACGTAGAAACATTCTAGGGGGACTGCATGGTTACCAGTGCTGCTGAGTTTGCCACACTGGCCAAACAGGAAATGAAATTCATAAGTTCCCAGGGCTTTTCCTGTGTACCTGGCTAATGCATCTGAGTTTAAAGTGCTGTCCAGGGCGGTCACAATGGAGCACTCTGGGATAGCTCCTGGAGGCCAATACCGTCAAATTGCATCCACACTACCCCAAATTTGACCCAGCGATGTCGATTTCAGCGCTAATCCCTTCGTCGGGGAGGAGTACAGAAATCGATTTTAAGAGCCCTTTAAATCGAAAAAAAGACTTTGTCGTGTGGATGGGTGCCGGGTTAAATCGATGTAACGCTGCTAAATTCGACCTAAACTCGTAGGCCTGGTCTACACTAACACCCCAATTCGATCTAAGGTACGCAACTTCAGCTACGTGAATAACGTAGCTGAAGTCGACATACCTTAGTTCGAATTTACCGCGGTTCAGACGCGGTCCACACGCGGCAGGCAGGCTCCCCCGTCGACTCCGCGGTACTCCTCTCGCTGAGGTGGAGTACCGCAGTCGACGGCGAGCACTTCCTGGTTCGAATTATCGCGTCCAGACCAGACGCGATAAATCGAACCCGGAAGTTCGATTTCCAGCCGTCGAACTACCGCGGTAGTGTAGACAAGCCCGTAGTGTAGAGTATTATGCATTTATTTGACTACATTCTTACTTCAGCATATCTATTATTTTATATTGAATTTTATTTTTTTTTAATTAGGTCAAGGTTCTGTGACCTTGTGCCAGGCATTGTCTAGCTGGTTACTAGTTGAACTAGTCATATCACCTTGCCTCAGTCAGTTGGGCACCTATAAAGGTTCACATACTGAAAATCAGTTCACCGACTACTAGTCATTCTTTCCAGTTGGATTTGAATGTAGTGTGTGCACTGCAATTCCCATCCTGTAATATTATTTAAACTAAGTTGCTATTCCCCAGTAAAATTTAAACCCAATGTTTTTCCCTTTTACAGTTCACACAAGTAGGAGGGAAGAGCCATGATTTGACAGTCTCCTGCTGGTGTGTGTGTGTGTGTGTGTGCATGCGCTGTTCCATTACCACCAGTTCTGTGGCTGAGCTGCATTTTCTGTGCCTGCTGGAGTCAGAGTTAGAGCAGTGCCCACCCATATGAGAAAGGAAAATAGGGCTGTGAAACTACTGAGTCCCACACCTTTCCTCCTATTCCTTGTAGGTTGGTGGGGAAGGTACACAAGGTTCTTCTTCTTTGAATTCCCTACAGGCCTTGCTTCCCACGCTTGTCTACCTCCTTCTTTTGCTACAGGTCTCCTGTAGCAGCATTGTCTTACTGGTGGTAGAAGTTGTTTTGCAGTTATTATATAGCATCTGGTGGCAGAGATTGGTCATATCAGGCCTGCAGAATATCTGCTTCCTGGACAATGTGAAGAAATTGGTAATAGGGTGTTTATATTGGGGAGAGAGCATGGGGCATTGGCAGAAAGAGACTGGAAAGTGAAAGTGAGGAGTTCAGGGGGCTAGAAAGTGACAAGGGAGGAGTAGCAGGTAACTGGTGACTCTGGCAGTGAAAAGAGGATTGTAGGGTAGGGGGCAGAGGGCTGGATGTTAATAGGGAAGATGCTGGGGAGTAGCAGGAGCAAGGATTGAAGAGCCAGAAATATGGCTCTATCTTCACGTGCTGTGTCAACTATTGTTTATTAAGAGAACTGAATAAAATATTTTCTTCTGACCAGAAATTTGTTTACTAAGAGAACCAAATAAAATATTTTTTTTCTGACCAGAAATTGATTGATTATGTATTAGTTTGTAGTGGGTATTACTTACAGAGAGCCTTTATGTCATTTAACAATTCCAGCCATTTCAAATAAGGAGTTTGTATTTTCTGTATGGTAGGAAAGTGCATTGATAACTCAGATGAGATTTCACCGTCAGACTACTTCCATGGCTGACATTTTCACCCTTTCTTCCCAACAGAATTGATATCACAGCGATTTTAGTATCTACTGAAAATATGCTGTGGTCAGCTTGCTGCTCAGTGCAGGAACTTTTGAATCCACATAAAGACAAAGACGCCAAGATCTATAAAATACACAACCACTGCAACAATCTGCTCTCTGCACTTGCCATTTTAACTGCACCTTTGAAGAATCTGTATGAGTAAGTATGAGGGTAATATTTTAATACAAGGTAAAATTGACCATATAGCTTATTTAACTTGCAAGTGAAAGGTAGATGGTCCATGAGACAATTTTTTAGTTAAAATGTAAATGGAACCCAAACTCTGGACACAGTTTGAGAACCACTGCTTTAGATACTTGATTGGTGTCTTGAATTAGGTCTGTATTCTAAGACTATTGAAGTCAATGAGATTCTTTCCATCAAGTTTAATGGGATTTGAATCAAGCATACTTTTCCATAGATTCATAAAAGCTGGAACAGATCATCCAGTTTGATCTCCTACATAACACTGGGCATAGAACGTAACTTAGTGATTCCTCCAATAAGTGCAAATTTCTTGTTGAACTAGAGCATATCTTTTTAGAAAGATATATTTTCTTGATTTAAAGGCTTTAGTGATAAAGAATCCACTGTATTCCTTGCAAGTTAGTCACTCTCACTGTTACAAACTTGCACCTTATTTCCATAAAGAATTTTTCTAACTTCAGCTTCCAGCCATTGTATCTTCTCAAGTCTTTGTCTGCTAAAAGCCCTCCACTCCTAGAAATATTTTCCTCATACTTCTGGAATTACTGGACTTCTTGAAATAATTCATTGAACTGATTCTCTGATTACTTGACACATAGGAAGCTGATGTGCTTCAGTAAGTCTCAAATATATTTGTAAAGAACAAGTGTATACAAAGCTTAATCTTAGGAGAATATATCTTTAGACGTCACAATTGCAACCAAAACAGGACTTGGCCTAGACTGATGTTACATATGAGTTATGCCATTGCCTTCAGTGGGGCCAGGATTTAATGGCGATTGTTTTGTGTAAGAACCAGATATTAAAGTGAGATCCCAAATTATGAAAAAAAAAAAATAGCTGAGAGCCTGTGAGTCTGGTCTTCATTTTATTATATGAGGAGACAACTATGGGAAAAAATAGGAGGAGGGAGTCCTGATCTTTGTCTGTGTATGTCGGGTCTTCTAACTAGAGTGGTTCTTTTATCACTTGTGAGGTTGTTGTAACATCTAAATGTTTTGTCCTCAAAAACAGAATGTAGTCTATCCTTTTAGCTGCTGTATGCTGTTCTGCTAATTCCTATTGTTTACAGATTTTCCTTGTATCCTGAGTTACAAAGAGTGACTTACTAATTTGAAAAATCAGAGAAGTCTAACAGAAAGGGGCAATAAAGAGAGAATGGAAAGGACTAGCTTGTATTTGGAATTTTACATACTGTGTTTCAAAATCACAAAAAACTCCAATGTTTTAGGCATGTAATAAATCTCAGTGTAGTAAACTGATTTGCTTTAGATAAAAAAACTCTATGTTCAGAGATAAAGGTGTCACAGATCCTTCCTGGCCAGTCACAAGGACTACTATGTGGGATATCCCCAGGGTATTTCAAGCCCTTTGAGCCTGAATGAAGTTCAGCCAGTACCCCAATCTTGGGGAACCTAGGCATGCTGTCAGGGTGCAGAGCTTCTGTCTGGCACCCCTGCACTCTGAGTGCTGGAACCTTAGCCACCAAACACTTAGCCACTGTGAGTGCAGTGCTGACCCTTCAGACTCCCCATTCCCAGAACTCCTCCCAAAGGTGTGAAGCTTCTGGTTTACAGTTTAACTCTCTCAGGGTCATGTAGTAGTTGTGAAACAGTCAATACACACACACTTTGTACAATCTAACAATGTTATGCTCTTAACAAATAAAGCAGAAGAGAATACAGATCACATAAAACATCCTAAACGCAATGTCCCTCACTTTCTAGCTCACCCTTCCCTTGTGAGTCCTTGGGGGAGCATCTGGGTCCAGGAAGGCAGGCAGGCAATGTATATATCCCCTGCTCATGGAGGCTGTTGCATGCTAGCTAGTCTCTCTCCTTCATGGGGGCCTTATCTAGCATCTGGGACCTTGCTCTTTCCTGCCCCACACTTCCTGCCCCTGTCTTAATCTCATGCAAAATAACTCCTGCCTTATCCATTCCCCCCCCCCCCCCCCCCCCCGTGAGTCCATTTATAGACTCCTTCTAGGGTCACCTGCTTCTTTTGTTCTGCCTTTTTGGTGATTTTCCATTACTTCCAAACCCCACCCTCCCTTCAGACAAAAGGAGGAAGTGTCTTCTCCCAGGTAGAGCATACCTATTGTCCCAAGGTGTTTTACTTTGAATACACAATCATTGAGTGCCATTCACTCACCATTGTCTCTCCCAGGTCATGACATGCTAATTCGTGATGGATCCACATATTTATACGTTTTCAATGACACAATGATTTCATGATAAAATTTCATAAAATTATCCAAAATTCAGAAATGGTACAGACAGAACTCCCACTTCATCACAGATGGGTCATCTAATATGAAAATAAGACCATGGTGAAAATATCAAATTTCATGGTTTGTCACAGATTTATAGAAAAATGTTAAAACTGAAATTATATATGTAGCAAATGATCATTAAAGATTATATTTTTTGTGACGGCTAAAGAAGGTGATTTGCTGAACCATGCATTCTTAGATCTTTATTCTTAAAATTAGATGAGATCTCAGATCTGGATAGTTTTCTATATTGTTTGTTGCACTGCAGCTAGTATACTCTCAATAAACGTAACCCACTAATGACAGTCAAGATTACATAAAAAGTTAACATGCTGAGTTTGTTTATTAAATTCCCTGAGTTTGTTAGTCAATGATGTGTACATATTTTACAAGATGAAAAAAAAAAGTTTTCCCATTTACAAAATTAGAGGTTCTGCATAATTTGAAATAAAAGAATATTGATCTCACATCAGTTTTCTTTATTTTCATGGCTGTATAATGAAAATGTCCATATGTTAGGTAGTTTCTAATTCATTCTCCAAAAAACTTGGATAAAATTAATTGTAAGGGAAGCAATAGATAGAAAAAGCAGACATGACTAATTTTTGCAAACCTAAATTGATTTTTGTCAATACATCATCGGAATCTCATAAGAGCAGGACACACAGTAGATCTCACAAATGACTACTTCTGTGTTTCTATCAGAAAATCTCTGAGAAAATGCCTCTGCATTGCTCTTCTGGGAAATGTCTGTTGAGGCATGAAATATGAACATAAGAACATAAGAATGGCCATACTGGGTCAGACCAAAGGTCCATCCAGCCCAGTATCCTGTCTACTGACAGTGGCCAATGCCAGGTGCCCCAGAGGGAGTGAACCTAACATGTAATGATCAAGTGATTTTTCTCTTGCCATCCATCTCCACCCTCTGACAAACAGAGGATAGGGACACCATTCCTTACCCATCCTGGCTAATAGCCATTAATGACAAACAGAGGCTAGGGAAAGAGGCTATGGTCTGCGGTAGTTTGCAAAATACTTATCACTTGTAACCTATTTGCTAAGGAAGGAAAAATTTCAATTGGTCTAATACTTGTCCAAGATTTTTGTGCAATAAAGATGAAAACAAAGTACATATCCAACATCCAATGTGCTCTAAAATATTAACTGCTAAGACAAGACATATTAATTCCATCCTCTGACAATATATAAACCTTTCGAATTCTTAGTTTCAGCTGTGGTTCCCTAATTCTAAATCCTCCATCTTGTCCCACAGGCAACTAGAACATCAGCTTGTTGCAGACATAGTTTACAGCCTTCAGAAATCAATGTTAATATAGATTTTAAAAGGGCAATTAATAAAGCTTTTCAGTTTAAATTAATTGGATTCCAGTAACAAAGAAATACACAATAAACCTGTAAAGTATTGGTGTTGAATTGTTGGGAAATTGAGGGAGAACGATTATCCCATACACTAACCTGGTTCCCATTCCACCAAATGAAAACTGATCACTTTTATATGACACTATAATTGAAAATCTAGCTATAGACATCAGATCACAAAAATATACTGGGAATTCAAAAAGGAAGCTCTGTTTGCAGATGACCTGATGATTTATCTGAGCTCTCCTTAGAAAACCACACATTTCTTATGCGAGCTACAGAAAAAGGCAGTGTTTAGATCCCAAAAACAATGTGTGTGAATCAGTGCCCCCATAGCTCTGTTATTAAAAAAAGAATCCCTCAGAAAACCAAAAAACAGATTTCTAGTTAGAGTGGACACCACCTGATTTTAAATAGTATGGACTAAAAGTAAACATCAGTTTTATTTTCTAATGAAATATACCACACCACTACAGAAAATACAAACACATTTAGTCAAATAGTATTGTCTCCTTCTTAAACTTTGAGATCATATCCATCACATTACAATGGTCATTTTCTACAACTATTATATCCATTTGAAATTTTACCCATTTTTAGTCTCTCTTACAAAAAATCCTAAAAAAAAAAAAAAATCACAAATCACTCCTGTCAAAAACATCACAAAAGTTTGTTCAATTTTCTTAAACAACCCTTAAGAGAGAGAGGAGGTGTATATCTCCTTTATTGAAGGTTATACATTTATGCAACATCCTTAAGGACAGTACAAGAATGGCAACATTATGACTTTCACAATTACCAAGGCCCCAATTTGTAACATAAAATTATTATTTAATTAAGCATCCTATTCTCTTGTACTAAGCAAGACTATGTGCTGTTGCCAGACTTAATCTAAGCCTGATACCTCTCACCTTTCCCCACAAGGAAGATTGGTCTAATCAGGGTATTATTGATGGCAGAACATTGTCTCCGAGCCAGTTGTCCAGTAGTTGGGTTGGATGAATTCCAAGCGGTCACTGGAAATAGCATCCTAAGAAATGTCATTTTCAGAAATTAAAGATACTTAAGGTTTTGTCTTAGGTTGGTCAAGTATAACAAAAATACATGGTTGAGAAAGAAAATAATCCTGTATGTTTCTTTTGAAGAGTGAGTTTAGGGCAGATTCTCTCCTGTGCCAGAGCTCTCTGATCTTTGTGGCCAGCCCCAACTCCATCACCACTTAGAACTGTGGCAGGAAGATCTAACATCTGGTTTAAGATCTTTAATAGATCCTACACCAGTGGAGGTTGGTGGA